CTGCTCAGTAGTTACGACTATAGACTAATATATAGAAGAGACTATAGAGTAATATATAGAAGTGACTATGAACTGATCTATAGTCAGGACAATAGGCTGATCTATAGTCAAGACTATAGACTGATCTATAGTCAAGACTATAGAATGATCTATAGTCAAGACTATAGAATGATCTATAATCAAGACTATAGAATGATCTATAATCAAGACTATAGACTAATCTATTGTCAAGACTATGGACTAATTTATAGTCAAGACTATAGACTTATCTATAGTTAAGACTAAATACTGATCAGTAGTCAAGACTATAGATTAATATATAGTAGAGACTATAGAGAGATCTATAGTTAAGACTATAGACTGATCTATAGTCAAGACTATAGACTAATCTATAGTCAAGACTATAGACTTATCTATAGTATATAGACTAATCTATTGGCAAGACTATAGACTAATCTATAATCAAGACTATAGACTTCTCCATAGTAGAGACTATAGAGTGATCTATAGTTAAGACTATTGACTGATCTATAGTCAAGACTATAGACTGATCAAGAGTCAGGCCTATATATAGACTTATCTATAGTTAAGTCTGTAGACTGATCAGTAGTCAAGACTATAGACTAATATATAGTAGAGATTATAGAGTGATCTATAATCAAGACTGTAGACTGATCTATATTCAAGGCTATAGACTGATCTATGTTCAAGACTATAGACTGACCTATAGTCAAGGCTATAGACTGATCTATAGTCATGACTATAGACTAATCTATAGTCAAGACTACAGACTCATCTATAGTCAAGACTATAGACTCTTCTACAGTCAAGACTATGGACTAATCTATAGTCAAGACTTTAGACTTATCTCATGTAGTCAAGACTATAGACTGATCTATAGGCAAGACTATAGACTGCTCTTTAGTCAGGACTTTAGGCTGATCTATAATCATAGTCCAGACCATAGACTGATGTATAGTCATGACTTTAGACTGATTTATAGTTAAGACTATAAACTAATATGTAGTCAAGTCTATAAATGTTCTCTAAGACTATAGGCTGATCTATCGTCAACACTATAGATATATTTATAGGAAAGTATAAACTGATATATATAGTCAAGACTATATACTGATCTATAGTCAAGACTATATACTGACCTATAGTCAAGACCATGGGCTGATCTGTAGTCAAGACTGTAGACTGAACTATAGTTAAAACTATCGACTGATCTGTAGTCAATAATGTGAACTGATCTATAGTCAAGACTATGGACTGACCTACAGTCAAGACTATTGGCCGATCTATAGCCAAGACTATAGACTGATCTATAGTCAAGACTATAAACTGATCTATAGTTCAAACCATAGACTGATCTATAGTCAAGACAATAGACGGATCTATAGTTAAGACTATAAACTAATATATAGTCAAGTCTACAGACAGATCTGTAGGCAAAACTATAGACAGATCTATAGTCGAGACTATTGACTAATCTATAGTCAACACTATAGAACGATCTATAAAATTATATACTAATCTATAGCCAAGATTAAAGATTGAGACTAAAAATTAAATTTTGTAAAAATAATTGTTCTAAGGTCGAAAATTCTTAATTTTTTAGTATAAACTATAAAAAGTTTCAAAAAGTGTCATATTTTTTCAATTAGAAACCGAATACGCAAAAAAGTATATATAAAAAAAATAATATTCTTCAAGTAGTACCTTAACTAAAAGAATTTTTGTTAACCTTAATGCCCTTTTTAAATTAACAAAAAATAAAATAATAATTAAAACATAAAAAAACACATCCTTCCATATAAAAAGAAATACTGTAATTTAAAATAAAGAAAAAACAATTCCCTTAAATAAATGATTCCTTTAGCAAAATATTTATAATTATAAAAATAAATATAAAAGAAAAAAAAAACAACATGAAATACTTTATCATAATAATTATTATAATTATTAGAACATAACAGACAATTTAGGTATAATATTTTTTCATATGAATTTTTTTATATAAAAGAAAATATTTTACAAAAACAAAACATTATTTATATAACTTTTTTTTAGTTATTTTTACAAAAAAAAAGAAAACATATATGATAATATAAATTTAAAAGAAATTTTGTAGTTTTTTCTTTTTTTCTATAAACATAAAATAATAAATAGTTAAAGAAAAAAAGTTTACATACAATTATTAAAATTAATAATATTAAACAATAAAATATAAACAACAGCAATTTAAAAACAAACAAAAAATATTTCTAACCCCCCCTCAAAACTTAAAATAAACCAAAATTAATTAATTAAAAATAAACCCAAAAGAAATTGTTGAAACAAATTATTATTTATTACTTAAATAAAAATTAAAAAAAAAGTTTTTAAAACTAAATATATCAGTATAAAAAAACAAATAAAGTGAAATATTAATACAAATTAAAGAAAATATAATTAAAAATCAAATAATAAAAAAAAATTAGTTGCAAACTTTTATCGATATTATATTTCCAAATAATATACAGTTTAAATAAAATAAAACAAAATGTATTATTAATATAAAAAAAAATATATATATAAAACAAATACATAAAAGAAATCTTGAAAACTTTTGGTGCATCAAAAAGAAAAAAATAAATACAGATGGAAAGGAAAGAAATTATATATTAATAAAAATTATAATATTACAAAAAAAAAAAAACAAAAAAAAATAATACAATTCACTTAATAAATAAATTTTTTCTGAATAAATATTTTAAAATTTGTTTTATTTTTTAAATTATTTATTAATTTAGATTCGATAATATGAGAACCTGGGGGCAAATTCTTGCATTCTATATCGATCGATATCTCAATAGAACTTAAACAAAAATTTATAAGAAATTTCGTTCGCCTTCGATTGCCTGATTTTGTTTCCAGGGCTGGAAAATTAAAATTTTGAAGAGGTACTAACGTTTACTAATAAGTACGTTTTTAAGTACTAATTGTCGAGTCTACGTATTAGTCTAATGTACTAGTCTATGGTTTAGACTAACGACTAGTATATTGTCTAGTCTATGAACTAGACGCTAGACAATTGAAAGTCTAATGAAATACTATTGACTAGTCTGTGGACTAGTCTATTGACAAGTCTATCAGCTAGTGTATAGATTGATTATATAATTGACTAGTCTATTGACCAGACTATTGACGAGTTTATGGACTAGTTTGTTAACAAGTCTACTGACAAGATTATTGACTAGTCTGTAGACTAGTCTATTGACTAGTCTGTGGACTAGTCTATTGACAAGTCTACGGAATAGTCTATGGACAAATCAATTGACTAAACTATCAACTAGTGTATAGATTGATTATATAATTGACTAGTCTATGGACCAGACTATTGACGAGTCTATGGACTAGTTTGTGAGCTAGTCTATTGACATGATTATTGACTAGTCTATGGACTAGACTATTGACAAGCTTATTGACTACATTATCGACCAGTTTATGGACTAAACTATTGAATAACATTTAGACTAGTCTATGTACTATTCTATCGATCACTATATGTGCTATATATAGTACATTTACTAGACTATGGACTAGTCTATTGGACAAGACTATTGATTAGTCTACGAATTAGTCTATGGGCATGATTTGTCTATTGACTGGACTATTAGTAGTCTATGAATTAGAAAGGACTAATCGATTAACTAGTTTATAACTTGGCTAGTGACCAATCTATAGACTATTGCTTAGTCTATGGACTAAACCATTGAATTGTCTATTGACGGGTCTATTACTAGTCTATTAGCAAGATTATTGACTAGTCTGTGGACTTGTCTATTGACAAGTCTACGGAACATCTATATTCATCTATGGACGAATCTATTGACTAGTCTATTAACTAGTGTATAGATTGATTATATAATTGACTAGTCTATAGACCAGACTATTGGCGAGTCTATGGACTAGGCTTGTTAATTGACTACATTATCAACCAGTTTATGGACTAAACTATTGAATAAAATTTAGACTAATATATTAATTAGTCTACGAATTAGTCTATGGGCTTGACTTGAGTCTATGTACTATTCTATCGATCACTACTTGTGCTATATATAGTATATTTACTAGACTTGTCTATTGGACAAGACTATTGATTAGTCTATGAATTAGTCTATGGGCATGATTTGTCTATTGACTGGACTATTAGTAGTCTATGAATTAGAAAGGACTAATCGATTAACTAGTTTATAACTTGGCTAGTGACCAATTAATGGACTATTGCTTAGTCTATGGACTAAACCATTGACTTCTTGATGGACGGGTCTATTAGTAGTCTATGAATTTGTTTATAAACTAGTATAGTTTATGGACTTAAGTATTAACTAGTCTATGGATTAGACTATGAACATTGACTAGATCATTGACTATACTTTTCATTAGTCGGTTGATTATTCTATTGACTTGAATTTTAAATAGTCTATTGACGAGTTTATGGAATAGCATATACTAGTCTATTGATCTATAGGACTATATTATTAATTCTATATGTATATCTAAACACTCCACCTTACAAGGACTATACCTTAAAAAGTATTAAAATGTTATAGAATTCCAAGATCCTACAAATATGACTCCCAACTATAGATCCGTCTACCGTATACTATACGTATATTGTATAGTATGTGGACTACACTATTGAGTAGTCTATGGACCAAACTTGACTTAGTCTATTGACTAGCCTATGGACAATATCAGAATTACTTAATCATGTTAGAGAGAAATAGAGTTATTGATCACTTACCAACATTATAGTGTGTCTAAACATTGGTCCACTGTATAATAAATTACTTACTTTTTATATATTGCAAAATATATTAAAATAAATCTGATTCGATTTAGTAAGCACAATGAAAACAAATGAAATTAATATCTATTTTATACTTTATGTTTTTACAAATACTAACTTTAAATCCAAATTTCAATCAAACACTAATTTTTATCTCTTCCACACACAGATCAGGCAGTATTGAGGGCATCTCACCAACTTCGGTTGGACCGAATTTAATAGCCGCATTATCGAGCAGTGATGCCACTTCGATTGGTACATGGCGCATGATAAAAGGTAAAGTTTCACAAACAATTGAAGATATAAAATCATCTAAAGGTAGTACAACAAATATTACTACATTACAACCCCAATCATATCCAACTATTATAATCAAAGGTAAATATTTCAAAATTCATTATAATTATGATTTCGTTTTTTTGTTACAATTTTATTATTTTTTTTTTAAATTGATTTTTTGAGAAAATTAAAATAGAAATGAATAGTAGTAATGTGTAAAGAAAAAACAAAATCAAAACATTTTATAATTAAAAAAAAATTCTATTCAATTTCAAATGAATCACCTAAAACTCCCCGTTTATCATGTCTTAGGGGGTGAGCATCAACAGCAAACGGGTCTTGAATTCGATTCGGATCAAGAGACTAAAACCTCTATGAGTGAAGATTTATCGGTGGAACAGGATAGACGTAGTAGTGGTGGTAGTGGTAAACATAAAAGATCTAGTAAATTGGAAGATTCCGATTCAGAATTTGAAAATGAAATATTGTTAGAGGGTGAATCGGAACATTCACGTTTTCGTCGCGGCTTTGCTCATCTCAAGTCGAAAGTAAAGGCCAAACACGCTGCACATCAAGCACAAAAAGCTACCCTCTCCACCGCTTCGGCAGCAGCTGCAGCAACAGTTTCCACCCCTGCTAGCCATTCGGCCGTAGCAGCAGTGAAGAAAGACATCAGTCCCAGTAGAAGTACAGGCTCCTCCTCTTCTTCTACTTCTTTAAGGGGAAATTTCTTAAGAAGACGCCGTAATAAAGGTGTAGAAACTGCAGAATTGGCCTCACCCACCAATATGGCTTCAGCTTTAGCCGCCACAGTGGCCGCCAGCGGTGAAATGGCTGCTGTAGTACCCGTAGTGGTAAGTGGCAAACCGGCCAAGAAACCCAAGGGTATTACAGTGGGTAAAAAAGATATAGAAATTGAATCTGGTGTTGAGATGTTAGAGGACATGATACCACCAGCCACAGCCGTGCCAGCTGCTGATGATACTTCACCCGATTCCATACCACCTAAACGTGATGAATTAGATTTACCTTTGCAAAGTGATAATCTAAACACTCCACCCTACAAGGACTATACTCTAAAAAGTATTAAAATGTTATATGAATGCCAAGATCCCACAAATATGACTCCCAACGAGTCACGTCTATCATCAGATAGTGCTGCTTCCTTGGGTAAAACAAATCAAGTTGACAATAAACATTTCTTTTGGGATTATTGGTATCAAGTTGTTAAGCATGCTAAATATTTACCCTGCATTTCCATTATGGGTTTAACAACCATATTCATTTTGCCCTTAAATGATTTTATACGCGGTGTGTTAACCTGTTTACTAAGCATTACCATTGTTGATGGTCTCTGGAATTTAATACAAACAGTTATTGAACGTTATACCATTCATTTTAAACCAGAGAAGACTACGTTTCATATACCCGACTATAGTAAAATGACAATATGTGAGGTACCGGCAGTGAAGGAGTATAAAACTGTTAAATCGTATGGGGTAAGTTGAAGTAGATTCGATTTTAGTTCTGGAAAAGAATTTAAAAGGATTTTGTTCGGTTTATTTTTAGGGTTGGATGAATGAGGTTGATAGTTACGATCCAAATACATTCAGTATTAACATGGCTAGATCGGTTTATATTAAACTGGAAGGTAAGTTGTAAAAAATAATATAAAATGTGATAGATAGATAAATAGATAGATAGATAGATAGATAGATAGATAGATAGATAGATAGATAGATAGATAGATAGATAGATAGATAGATAGATAGATAGATAGATAGATAGATAGATAGATAGATAGATAGATAGATAGATAGATAGATAGATAGATAGATAGATAGATAGATAGATAGATAGATAGATAGATAGATAGATAGATAGATAGATAGTAGATAGATAGATAGATAGATAGATAGATAGATAGATAGATAGATAGATAGATATATAGATAGATAGATAGATAGATAGATAGATAGATAGATAGATAGATAGATAGATAGATAGATAGGATAGATAGATAGATAGATAGATAGATAGATAGATAGATAGATAGATAGATAGATAGATAGATAGATAGATAGATAGATAGATAGATAGATAGATAGATAGATAGATAGATAGATAGATAGATAGATAGATAGATAGATGATAGATAGATAGATAGATAGATAGATAGATAGATAGATAGATAGATAGATAGATAGATAGATAGATAGATAGATAGATAGATAGATAGATAGATAGATAGATAGATAGATAGATAGATAGATAGATAGATAGATAGATAGATAGATAGATAGATAGATAGATAGATAGATAGATAGATAGATAGATAGATAGATAGATAGATAGATAGATAGATAGATAGAAGATAGATAGATAGATAGATAGATAGATAGATAGATAGATAGATAGATAGATAGATAGATAGATAGATAGATAGATAGATAGATAGATAGATAGATAGATAGATAGATAGATAGATAGATAGATAGATAGATAGATAGATAGATAGATAGATAGATAGATAGATAGATAGATAGATAGATAGATAGATAGATAGATAGATAGATAGATAGATAGATAGATAGATAGATAGATAGATAGATAGATAGATAGATAGATAGATAGATAGATAGATAGATAGATAGATAGATAGATAGATAGATAGAATAGATAGATAGATAGATAGATAGATAGATAGATAGATAGATAGATAGATAGATAGATAGAAAGATAAATTTTTAAATACAAATTTGAAAGTAAACAACTTTTATACATTTTGGAACAATATTTCTAACTTTTCATAATCTCAACAGGCACAGTATTACATATATCCACTACGAATGCTCGTATACCCAAGCGAGTCATGTGGAACGAATTGCCTATAAATCGTAAAACTATAATATTTACAACACATCGCACTTACGATTTACTAGGCTGTCGCATTGAATTGTTACCTATTGGTTTGGCTAGAAAAAGGTACCAAGACGCAACATAATATCTACAACTTATATTTAAATATTTAATTTATTTCAAGACACTTTAATCGAAAATATCCCATACAACTAATAATAAAGGATCCTAAAATAGCACCGGGCACTGAGGATGATGATATCGATAACAAACCTTTAAGACGTAGATTTAGTCGACAACGTAATAAGCGTGAAAAATCGGAAACAAAAGAATTAGCGGAAAATAGCAGCGGTAAATTAAATGATACTGAAACACAAACTCAAGAGTCGGGTGGAGAAATGGATTTTGGAGCCACCATATTAAATGCAGATGTAAGTTATTAGCTTTAAAAGGAAAAATTATATGATTTAATTATGTTTCCTAACAGTTGCAGAAATTACAAGATGACGTAAATCCAGATGAGGATTTAAACAATATAACCGTACCATGTGGTGATGAAGTTCGTATATTATTATTTGCCAGATGTGCCAGAGAAAAAGAAGATTGGTATGTTAAATATACAAACATTTAATTGATTTTATTTAATATGTTTTAAATCTAATAGGTATAGACGTTTTGTAGCCGCTAGCTGTGGTGATGTCCATGATCAAGATTTACATTTGAGTAATGTAAAACTTATTAATTCTAAGGACTTGCAGGCGGCTGCTACTAAAGCGGCACAATTAATAACTAATCCTAAGGTAAATATGTCTATTCCTTGTTTTTATCCATTGTACATTATAGGCTTTCCTGTACATTTTAATAACTTGAGTAATGTTGTCTTTATTGTTTTTTTTTAACAGCCTAAAGAGAATGTAGCTGGTTCTGGTAAATCTTCAGTGTCTGAACAACAAAGAGAATCAACCTCATCGCTTAATTTTGAAGATTTAGTTGATGTAAGTTTTCGGGAGTACATTTTTTGTAGGTAATTTATATTAGTTATGTATTCTATTATTTCTTAGCTTTCTCCTGCTGTTCCCGAAAAAGAGGAAACGGAACGTGATGACGAATCTATAGAGTTTATGCCAGATGATGCTGAAACCATTGAGGGTCTTTTAATGTTAGCCAGCGCTGCTAGGAATGATGCAAATTATATTAAATTTATGGCTTTATATCAGGTATGTTGAAGAGAATAAAAGTTGTGTTAGACGAATTAGAAAGAAATCGTTTTTCGTCTATAAATTGAATCAAACTCTTTCTACAGAAATATTCATTAGGAAGTCCATCATTTACTATTGAGTGACTTGATAAGTTGATCGTCCAAAAGTTTTGGCTTTTTAAAAATGTATTCTTTTTCATGTTTTCACATTTTTTCTTTTCTACTCTATAGTCTAGTCTACAGTCCAGTCTATAGTCTAGTCTACAGTCCAGTCTATAGTCTAGTCTATAGTCCAGTCTATAGTCTAGTCTCTAGCCTAGTCTCTAGTCTAGTCTATAGTATAGTCTATAGTCTAGTATATAGTCTAGTCTATAGTCTAGTCTATAGTCTAGTCTATAGTCTAGTCTATAGTCTAGTCTATAGTCTAGTCTATAGTATAGTCTATAGTCTAGTCTATAGTCTAGTCTAGTCCAGTTTAGTCTAGTCTAGTCTAGTCTAGTCCAGTCTAGTCTAGTCTAGTCCAGTCTAGTCTATAGTCTAGTCTAGTCTAGTCTAGTCTAGTCAATAGTCTAGTCTATAGTCTAGTCTAGTCTATAGTCTAGTCTAGTCTATAGTCTAGTCTATCTATAGTCTAGTCTATAGTCTAGTCTATAGTCTAGTCTATAGTCTAGTCTATAGTCTAGTCTATAGTCTAGTCTATAGTCTAGTCTATAGTCTAGTCTATAGTCTAGTCTATAGTCTAGTCTATAGTCTAGTCTATAGTCTAGTCTATAGTCTAGTCTATAGTCTAGTCTATAGTCTAGTCTATAGTCTAGTCTATAGTCTAGTCTATAGTCTAGTCTATAGTCTAGTCTATAGTCTAGTCTATAGTCTAGTCTATAGTCTAGTCTATAGTCTAGTCTATAGTCTAGTCTATAGTCTAGTCTATAGTCTAGTCTATAGTCTAGTCTATAGTCTAGTCTATAGTCTAGTCTATAGTCTAGTCTATAGTCTAGTCTATAGTCTATCTATAGTCTAGTCAAGTCTAGTCTATAGTCTAGTCTATAGTCTAGTCTATAGTCTAGTCTATAGTCTAGTCTATAGTCTAGTCTATAGTCTAGTCTATAGTCTAGTCTATAGTCTAGTCTATAGTCTAGTCTATAGTCTAGTCTATAGTCTAGTCTATAGTCTAGTCTATAGTCTAGTCTATAGTCTAGTCCATAGTCTAGTCTATAGTCTAGTCTATAGTCTAGTCTATATTCTAGTTTATCTAGTGTATAGTCTAGTCTATAGTCTAGTTATAGTCTAGTCTATAGTCTAGTCTATAGTCTAGTCTATAGTCTAGTCTATAGTCTAGTTATAGTCTAGTCTATAGTTAGTCTATAGTCTAGTCTATAGTCTAGTCTATAGTCTAGTCTAGTCTAGTCTATAGTCTAGTCTATAGTCTAGTCTATAGTCTAGTCTATAGTCTAGTCTATAGTCTAGTCTATAGTCTAGTCTATAGTCTAGTCTATAGTCTAGTCTATAGTCTAGTCTATAGTCTAGTCTATAGTCTAGTCTATAGTCTAGTCTATAGTCTAGTCTATAGTCTAGTCTATAGTCTAGTCTATAGTCTAGTCTATAGTCTAGTCTATAGTCTAGTCTATAGTCTAGTCTATAGTCTAGTCTATAGTCTAGTCTATAGTCTAGTCTATAGTCTAGTCTATAGTCTAGTCTATAGTCTAGTCTATAGTCTAGTCTATAGTCTAGTCTATAGTCTAGTCTATAGTCTAGTCTATAGTCTAGTCTATAGTCTAGTCTATAGTCTAGTCTATAGTCTAGTCTATAGTCTAGTCTATAGTCTAGTCTATAGTCTAGTCTATAGTCTAGTCTATAGTCTAGTCTATAGTCTAGTCTATAGTCTAGTCTATAGTCTAGTCTATAGTCTAGTCTATAGTCTAGTATAGTCTAGTCTATAGTCTAGTCTATAGTCTAGTCTATAGTCTAGTCTATAGTCTAGTCTATAGTCTAGTCTATAGTCTAGTCTATAGTCTATTCTATAGTTTATTCTATGGTCTAGTTTTAATCTAGTCTATACTCTAGCGGAAATTAGTTTCAAAATTTAAATTTTGCATACCTGATGAAGGGTATACAAGATTCGGCACAGCCGAATATAGAACGTTTAGTTGTTTTTAATTTACATTTATAATATTATATTCTTTATTTTAATTTTTATTATTTTGATTTTGTTTTTTGTATTTTTGTTTTTATTTCTTTTAGAAAGCTTGTAGACAATCAAAGATTCCAGTTTATAAAGGACAAATCTTTCATGATCCTCTAGACAAGAAAAGTGTATGTTTTTTAATTTATTACTTTTTTTAATTTAATATTTTTTTAATTTATTATTTTTTTAATTTAATCATTACAAACATCAAATAATAAAACAAATTGAATCGATCGTTGAAGGGAAAGTGGATTTAAAATATTGTTTCGATTCCACGTTCTTTACTTTTTCATGCTTAAATTGTGACTTAAACAAATCCCTTTTTCAATTTTAGAACAAACGCACAGCTCGTCATGAAAATGAACTTTGGAAGGGCATAGATCAGTCGTTATTCTTGGGTCCTTCTGGCAGTGTGGTATGGGCTAATGTTTTAATAGGCCGCTTACTCTACAGCACCTTACAAAATGAACAAATTTTAGATAAGATACAGGATATCTTGCAAAAGAAATTGAATTCCATTAAGGTAAGTTAAATTTACAAAATAAGTAATAAAGTATTAACAAATACAACACTTTTTCAGCTTCCCAGTTTCATGGAGGATGTGGTTATTAAAAATATCGACTTGGGCACAACTCCTCCCCTAATACATCGTGTCTCCCAGCCCATGCTGGATGAACGTGGCATTTGGTTAGATATGGATGTAACATATGAGGGTCATTGTCATATCACCGTAACGACAAAAATGAATTTGTTACGTCTTAAACGTCCAATGCGTACACCTCTATTTGTTGATACAAAACTAGATGCCACCATACCAAATCCACACATAGCAGCTTCTTTGAAAGATGAACTTTTGGCCGCCAATAAAGCCGCGCGAGGAGGTGGTGTTAATGAAACGGAACTATTGATAGAAAGTGCTTTAACCGGCAGTGCTATATTTGATAGTGATGCTGAAAGTACTGGCAGTTCGAGTACGGAATCCGATAGTCCTATTGCTGGTACAATGGGTGAAAATCCGAATAGTGTTAGTGAAGGGTGAGTAGAGATGTTAAGTTTTTAAAAAGTATAAATATTTACCTTTTTTTTTGCTAAACAGCGCCACAAATCCGGGTAATGCTAGACGTATATTTAAATTTGTTGATCGCATTGCTACTTCCAATTTTTTCCAATCTGCAACGGAATTGTCTTTTGTACAAAAAGCTATGGAGAATATGAGTACTACCATAACATTAGGCATAGATTTAAGAGGTTTAGTTTCACGTGTAACAATAAATATACCTCCACCGCCCTCGGATAGAATATGGCTGGCGTAAGTTTAAGTCTAATGGTTTCCTATATAATGCTTAATGTTTATTTTCTATATTTTTATAGTTTTCGTGCTCCACCACGCCTTTGGCTAACAGCACGTCCTACAGTGGGTGACAAATCTGTTGATTGGAGCATTGTTACCAATGTTATTGAGGGTAAACTATGCGAGGCTGTTAATAAATATTTAGTATATCCCAATATGGTTGATTTAACTGTACCATTCTTGGGTAAATCTGCAGCTTCCGAATCATAAGAATTAAACAATTTTGATTTATATTTATTTGTGTTATTAGTCTATATGTTTGCCGTCTCTTTAAGGACAAAATTTACTATAACATTTTTTTTTTATTATTACAATTATAATTATTATTACTATATAACTATATACAATTTATGTAAAATTTCTTTATAAATATTATTAAAGAAAAAAAAAATAACAGAAAGAAATTGTTAACATATTTTTCTAACTAATACTCTCTAAAAACCAAATTGGAAACAAAAAAATAAACAAAACAAAAAAACAAAAATAGTTAAACTATTTTAACAATTTTATTCCTTAAATATTCCCCCTTTTTAAGTATTAAACTAATTAACTAACAAATACATATACATACATATTTATATATTTAAATTGCAGACAACAGAAAAGACAGACAACAAAAAATTATAAATTACTATTATAATTTAAAAAAAAAAAAAACTACAACACTTCTATATATTTTTTATACAATTATAATATTATAATTAACTATATCATTTTATTTTATATCTTAAATATAGAAAAACCAATTTATTTATACTTATATATTATTATAATTTTTTTATACCACTATACACTTAAAAGGTGTTGTAAATTTTCTTTTTTATTTTTATAAATTTGTTTTCTTTTAAACAATAATAGTGATAACGTTTAATTTTTTTATTTTGTATCTGATAAACTTTTTATACTCAAAATTGTTTTTTTAATTTCGTTTTTTTTTTGCCAGCGGCTTCATTGAAATAAACTTAATGTATTCCTATTGATATCATTTTTAAGAAAACAACTTATTCTTGTTTAAGATTATTTAAAAACTAAATAAATAAAGAAAAGCTAAGAAAAATATTTGTATTTGTTAATTTGTTAATAAAGCAAAGGTTGTAAAATGTGGATGATTGTTGTTGTTGCTGGGGTTAACAGCCCTTTGGCGAATATTTCCGGTCATTTCCGTGCGTAGAACCGGCTGTCGGGGTATGTCAACAACACTTTTTACCACCTGGACGAAGGTATTAAACCTTACCCTTCCGACCGTGCACCACCCAAAAATCTTGGGGGTTACATTTGATAGCCTATTTACTTCCTCAGCTCACGCCACTGCAATCACTAGTCTAGTCTGGTAGACCGGAGGTGGTGGGTTCGATTCCCACCTGAGGCACTGGTTAAGGAGCGCATAACAGGCCCAATAGAGGCCTAGGTGTATTTCTTCGGATTTGATGTATATATGTACATCCTCCTTTCAAGCTAACTAACTAACGATAAAACGATTGGTCGGTCACCTTCGCTGAGTGATACCCAGTCTAGAAACATTCAAAGCTGCCAAAATACCGCCCTAAGGCCTGTAACGGGCACCTACAAATTACATCGGGTCCTCCTAATCATCGTAGGAGTCATCCCAATTTTAACATGACACAGTTAAATACTTCCCTGAGGCATGTCAGGAAGGATCTTCGTATATACGAGGAAAACATACGTAGTTATGTGCAGGATCCATTAGATCAGTCCTCAGACGCCATAAATTTCGCGGTCGCTGGATACTACATGAATGTCGTACTTGGAGGTTGCCCACCGCCCAATGATACCTACCATATATTCAACTGCTCAGCCAACCCTCCTACTTCACTCTGTACAATGGATTTGTGAATGCATCCAGTTGAAGTAGCCCAATTTTTAGGCCTGGACATTGATGTAGATTATGGTATAGTTTTAGCTGTTACAACAACAATACTGGATGATAATCTTATCTATAGTCTTAACTTAGTCTATAGTGAGGACTATAGTTCGGTCTAGTCTGGACTATCTAAAGTCTAGACTATGGATATGAAGTCTATGTTCTGCAATATAGTCAAGTCTAGTCTAGTTTAGTCTATAATACAGTTTATAGTCATTAATACAGTCTGTATTACAATCTACTCTAGTCTATGGTCTTGTCTATAGTCTAGTCTGTTCAAGCGACTATTTTTTAGTATAGTCCATAGCCTGGAATACGATCTAAAATATATTCTTTATTATAGGCTTTAGTTTAGTCTTTAGTATAGTCTTTTTACTGAGCAATAGTTTATTCCTTAGTATAGTCCATAGCCTAAACGCTAGACAATGTGGATTAGTCTATAGTCCGGATTATAGATTTGAATAAAGTCCATACTATATATATCAGACCTGGGATAAATGCATTAAATATGTTAATGCATTAACAATTTTTTCTACATTAAAAAAAATTAATGTTAATGCAAGTTTATTGCATTAACATTAACATGGGTACATTTAATGCATTAAATTTGCATTAACATTAAATATTTTTAAATTTAATGCATTAATTTTACATTAACATTAAATATTTGTGAAATTAATGCATTAATTTTGCATTAACATTAAATATTTTTGAATTTAATGCATTAATTTTCCATTAACATTAAATAATAAATAATAAAATTAATGCATTAATTTTCCATTAACATTAATTTATAAAAATAAGAATACAGCGCTAAAGACCTCGGTCTAACTAAATTCAAGTAAAATTGAATGTGTTAAAATCCTTTCTAATAAGTCCTATACTCGATAATACATATTAGAAAAATAGTATGACTTCCCAGATATTCCTTTTGTAGTTTATTTTGATAAAGTTTTCTAATAAGTCCTATACTCGATAATACGTATTAGAAGAATAGTATCACTTCCCAGATATTCCTTTTTCAGTTTATTTTGTCTGTGGAATCTTATATAAATATCATATTTAAAACACACAAGTTTGAATGGAATATAGGAGTTATTAGAAAGGACTTTAACCTATTTAATTTTAGTTGTATTTAGTTAGATCGAGGTCTTTTGTGCTGTATTTTTATTTATGTTTATCAATTTTTATATATATTAATGTTAATGGAATATTAATGCATTAATTTTATTGCTTATTTAATGTTAATGTAAAATTAATGCACTAAATTCAGATATATTTAATGTTAATGCAAAATTAATGCATTAATTTCAAAAATATTTAATGTTAATGTAAAATTAATGCATTAAATTCAAAAATATTTAATGTTAATGGAAATTTAATGCATTAAATTTTACAAATTTAATGTTAATGTAATATTTTTTACATTAAATTAATTTTTTTTTAATTTAATGTTAATGCAAAATTAATGGAAATCGCCCAGGTCTGATATATATGCCTATTATTTAGCCTTTATATTGGATTCTAGACTATATTCCAGGCTATGGACTATACTATAGACTAGATTATAGCCCAGACTATATACTACACTAGACTACAGACCAGACTGTATACCAGACTAAACATTGAACTATAGTTCAAATTATAGACTAGGTTATAGACTATAAAGTCTGGGCTATAGTCTAGTCTATAATCTGAGCTTTCAGTTTTTATTCTAGTCTGAGCTATAATTTAGTGTTTAGTATATTACATAACTTGGAATACAGTTTACCTCTAATCTTGAGTCTAGACCACAGTCTAGTCTGGCTATAGTTAATTCTATAGCCTAAACTGCAGTCCAGACTTGAATCTATTATATATTTCAGAACTTTTTTAAGTGGTCATCCGCTTTTATAATTATAATTAAACAATAAGATTTGTGTTTTAAAATTTGAATTTATTTATGTATTTTGTAATTACCTTTATCGCAATTTGCTTTACTTAACTTTTTGCAAAAATTAAACTTTTTTTCATTTATTATCGAATTGATTTCCTGTCAAATGCAAATTTTAAGATAAACATTTTAAAACCAACATCTCCCAAGAAAACGAAAATGTATTTTGGTATATAAACCGAAATTATTTCAAACAAAACAGCACAACTTTGTAAACAATCACTTAACAAACATGGTAAGTTTATGAAATTAATAAAATATAAAAAAAAATTAAGATTTGTTAATAAATTAAAATTCTTTACAGCATTTTTCTCAATTATTTGTTATGGCTGCTGGCCTTTCTTTAATCTCCTGGACCTCGGGGGGTGGTATTGTTACTCGTGAATATTTACCAGCTGTAGACACTCAAAGATTTTTACACCACCACTATCCATCTTACTATCAGCAACAACACCAACAACATCAACAATATTATCCATCATATGGTATTAATGGTGGTTATTATCCACAATATTCCAATGGTTTAGTAGGAGGTCTAACCAGTTCTTTGGGTTTGGGACCATCTTTGGGAAGTACTTTGGGTCTGGGCTCATCTTTGGGTTTAGGAGGTGGCTATTATAATAATCATTTAAATTACGGTTTAGTTAATCCATATAGACCCAAACCAAGAGTAGATGTTATTGAAACCGTCTATAATACAAATGGTGGTTATATTTATGGTAAGAAGAAATGAAGTTATTTATTGATGACAGAACATGGGTTTTAATGGAGGAGTTGAAATGAATTTGAAGAATTAGTTTGTTTAGATTTGAAATAAAAAATGTAATAATATTGAATAAAAATATAATTAATTTAATGCTCTGAAAATAACAAGTGCGAAAAGTTGTGTTTTAATTTAGAATTTTTATTACAAAAACACAGATTGTTGTTGTTGTTGTAACAGCTAAAACTATACAATAATCTAGTTGGGGGGTTCTGCATCAATGACCAGGCCTAAAAATTGGGCTACTTCAACTGGATGCGTCCATAAATCCATTGGACAGAGTGAAGTAGGGTTGGCTGAGCAGTTGAATATGTGGTGGATGTCATGACCACATGCAGGACATTCGTTGGGGACGGCACGGTCTATACGTGACCAGTAGGCATTGAGCCTGTTGCTCCATCCCGATCTTAGTTGTGCCAGAACTACTCTTGTTTTCCGCGGCAGGTTTTCTTCCGTGTCTGCTATGGGCGGTGGGCGACCTCCAAGTACGACATTCAAGCGGTATCCTGCGATCGTGGAATTTATGGCGTCTCTATGAATGTCGTTCAAAGCTGCCGAATACGAGGACTGATCCAGTGGATCCCGCACATATCTGCATATGTTTTCCTCGTATATACGAAGATCCTTCCTGACATGCCTCGGGGGAGTATCCAATTGTATGATGTTAAAATTGGGATGATTTCTCCGATGACATCCCAGGAGGAACTGTTTAGTCAACATGACATTGTGTTCCTTGACTGGAAGGACCTTCGTTTCCTCGTGCAGGTGATGTTCCGAGGTAATTTGTAGGCAGCCCGTTACAGTCCTTAGGGCGGCATTTTGGCAGCTTTGAATGTTTCTCCACTGGGTATCACTTAGCGAAGGTGACCACACTGGAGCAGCATAGTTAACCACTGACCGACCAATCGTTTTATATGTAGCCAACAAGGTTTCTTTATCCATACCCCAAGTGCTGCCGGCTAGCGCTTTGAGGACCTTGTTTCTACTTCGCAATTTGTGCGTGATTGCAGTGGCGTGAGCTGAGGAAGTAAAGAGGCTATCAAATGTGACCCCCAATATTTTTGGGTGGTGCACGGTTGGAATTTGGACTCCATCGACCACGATGCCAAGGTTTAGGTTTACTTCCTTCGTCCAGGTGGTAAAAAGTGTTGTTGACGACTTCGCTGGTGATAATTGCAGGTTACGCGCAGTGAAGAACTGATGTATTTCGTGGAGATAACCATTCACCAGAACGCATAATTCATCAATGTTGTGGCCCGTCGCCATGATTGTACAGTCGTCCGCGTATGAAATCACTTCCACGCCTTGTGGAGGTGCGGGGAGCTTAGAGAGGTAGAAGTTAAACAAAAGTGGCGATAGTACTCCACCTTGAGGTACGCCTTGTTTAACTCTACGGGGTTTGGAGCGTCTGTCTCTAAACTCCACGAACGACTGACGGCCACTCAGATAATTTACGATCCATCTCTTCGTGTTGTTGGGCATTGTGGATTGCAGGATATCCTCGAAGAGTGTGGCGTGACTGACAGTGTCGAAGACCTTCGACAGGTCAAGAGCCATTAGGACCGTTCTTTCCCAGGGCCTCTGCTGGTTTAAGCCTTGTGAGATCTGAGTGGCAATGGCGGTTAATGCTGTAGTAGAGATTGTTGTTATTATCTTAAGTATACCTCTATTTCAATTGGCTTTAAACGATGTTTAAAAAGCCTGGTGGTGTTCTCACCACGATGATAGATGCTGCCTCACCATCATTAGCCAAAACGGTATATAATCCAGTCATTAAAGAACCAAGATCTAAAAATGGTAAGAAATAATGAAATTTTTCTTATAAAAATAATTTTATGATATTTTACCTTTTCTCTTAAAAAGGCATTTATGTGTCCGATGCCTCAGGTAAACCATATACCTCTATGAGCACCATGGTTCCAAGTGTTTCCAATGGATCCATTGTAGAGTCTGTGACACGCTTACCTTTAAGATTTAGTTTTAAAAAACCTCGAACTTAAATTTTATCGTGATATTAGTGTTTATAATTAAATTTTGACCTTCAAGTCAATTTCTGATGTGGACTTTGTATAGGGTATGGGGTCAAATGAGTCCCGATCATTATTAAAATCGGCAGTATCATTTATACTTACATAAAACTAGGCCTTGCCGATTTTAGTAGATATACAAGAACCTTTAATATAATTATGAGCTCAAAAGCTCTATTCGGGTGGTACGGTTGTATGGGGCCGAAATACTAGACCGATTTTAACTATTTTTAATAATAGGCTTTGTCCTTGGGTCAAAAGAAGAGTATGTGTCAAATTATTTTGAAAATTGCCACCTGTATAGAGCGTAGAAGGTTTACATGGACACACAGACAGGCGGTCATAGTTTATAGTCTGAATCTAGACTAGCTTATAGTCTGAAATATAAGTTGGACTAAAGTCTGGCCAATAGCCTAGTCTATAGTCTGCAATAAGGTTCAGTTTATAGTCTTGACTATAGTCTAGACTATAGTATAGTCTGTAGTTCGGATTATAGTTCAGTCTCTAGTCAAGTCTATTGTCTGAGCTATAGTTAAAGATTAGTTTAGCCCATAGCCTGAAATATAACCTAAAATTTAATCTAAAGTCTAGACCATTATCAAGTCTATAGTCTTTATGACATTAGACTATATAGACTAGACTAGATTATAGACTAGATTATAGACTAGACTATAGACTACGCTATAGACTAGACTATAGACTAGACTATAGACTAGACTATAGACTACGCTATAGACTAGACTATAGACTAGACTAGACTAGACTATAGACTAGACTATAGACTAGACTATAGACTAGACTATAGACTAGACTATAGACTAGACTATAGACTAGACTAGACTAGACTAGACTATAGACTAGACTATAGACTAGACTAGACTATAGACTAGACTATAGACTAGACTATAGACTAGACTATAGACTAGACTATAGACTAGACTATAGACTAGACTATAGACTAGACTATAGACTAGACTATAGACTAGACTATAGACTAGACTATAGACTAGACTATAGACTAGACTATAGACTAGACTATATTATAGTGTAAACTATAGACTACACTATAGACTAGACTATAGACTACACTATAGATTAGACTATAGACTAGATTGTAGACAAGACTATAGACTACGCTATAGATTAGACTATATACTAGACTATAGACTAGATTATAGACTACACTATAGACTGGACTATAGACTTGACTATAGACTAGACTACAGACTAGACTATAGACTAGACTATAGACTAGACTATAGACTAGATTATAGGCTAGACTATAAACTAGACTATAGACAAGACTGTAGACTACGCTATAGATTAGACTACATACTAGACTATAGACTAGATTATAGACTAGATTATAGACTAGATTATAGACTACACTATAGACTGGACTATAGACTAGACTATAGACTATAGACTAGACTATAGACTAGACTATAGTCTAGACTATAGACTAGACTAGACTATAGACTAGACTAGACTAGACTAGACTAGACTATAGACTATAGACTATTTTGTAAACTATAGACTACACTATAGGCTAGACTATAGATTACACTATAGATTAGGCTATAGACTAGACTATAGATTAGACTATAGACTACGCTATAGATTAGACTATAGACTAGACTATAGACTAGACTATAGGCTAGACTATAAACTAGACTATAGACTAGATTATAGGCTAGACTGTAGACTAGACTATAGACTAGAATAGACTATAGCCATAATATTAACTATTCTAGAACCTAGACTGGTATATTGACTACTATGTGGACAAACTACTATTACTGCTATCTAGCCTGTAGTTTGGATTATAGTTGGACTATAGTCGCATCTATGGTCTAGCCTATAGCCTGGATCGTAATCTTGTTTATAGTCTGAACTGTAGTCGAGTCTATATTGTGACTTATAGTTTAGTCTCTAGTCTGGACTATAATCTACATTCTACAGTCTGGAATACAGTCTAGTCTATATTCTGGACACTAGTCTACTTTATATTCTGGAATATAGTTTAGTTTATAGTGTTGACTATAACTTAGTCTATAGTTTGTACACTAGTCTAATCTGGACTCTACTCTTAGTCAAGAGTCTAGAATATTGTCTAGCATATAGTCTGAAGTGTAGTTTAGTATACAGTAATTACTCTCTAGTCTGATAGCTGGACTCTAGTGAAGAGTCTAGTGGAAATGTTATAATAATTTTCATTTCTTTTTATTAATAACAAATTTAAATAAGAAAATCCATTTTATTTTAGGGTTTTTATTAACTAATCAATTAATTTATTAACTAAATTTTTCATTTTTAAAATTTATACATTCTTTGTAAAACTGATATGCTTTATAAGAGATAAAATGCTATAAAAAAAATTTTACATTTTATATCAATTTTAAATACATTACAAACATATTCTGTTGCAAATTTAATTCATCAAAATGTAAAACAACTTAAAAAACTAATAAAAAAAATTATAAAGAAATTTAACAATAAATTTGTTATTAAGATTTTTTTTCTTCGTTTTAACAAACTAAACTAGAATTCAAATATCTTTCAAAGGTGTTCTGATAAATGGTTTTTAGTACTTTTTTACATTAAAAATTAATTAAAATTAAAAAAAGTAAAAATAAAAATTTAATTATATATAAAAGGTATACATATAAAAAAATATATATATAAAACTTGTGATGTTTGAGAGTGGAAAATTGTTATAATACAAAACGAGCGTTTTAGCAAAAGAAATAAAAGAATAACAAAAAAAAAAAAAAGAATATAAATATTTACTAAAACTTAGTAATGATTAAAAATAAGAAATAAACTTAACGAAAAATAATGAATTTTTAGATTTAAAAACAATAAAGAATATTTGTTTTGTTTTTATACAAATAAGAATAAAATTGGAATGTTTTTTTTGTTAACAAAACGATGTTTACTTTTAAAATATTAATTAAAAAAAGGACTAAACAGTAAATATTTAATTCTTTTAAGAAATTGTCACAATTTGTTAAAAATTTCTTTAAAAGACAACAAGTCCTTTAGTAAACATTTCAAGTTATTAAATTATTATTGACTTTTGTTTTATAATTTGTTTAAATGGTCCTTGTTTCTACTAAGTAAATAATAAACAATTAAAAAAAGATGATTTATTAGGGAAGATTTATGTTTACAGTCTCATGCCATGATATTTGGCAAAGGATTTGCAAAGGCAAAAGGCCAAGAAAATGGCCAATAGATGTACCACACCCACGCCGAATAAAACAGCAATTATTATTTCACGATGGGATATAATCCATTCGGTAAATACATCATAGCAGCCCTAAAATAATAAACAAATAAGAAAATATAAATAAAATCAAAAAGAAATTTAAAATTCCCACTAAAATACCTTTAAATAAAAACTATTTGTTTCATTGGGATTTGTCACACAACTGTCATCTTCGGGTAGTAAATTTTTAATATCCTTTAATCTGCAACAGGCCTCGGGAATGGTGTGATTACCTTTGCCATTCAACCAACCCGAAGAGGTTTCAAAATCACGATAATCCACAACGCCACAACAGCCAAAAGTGCTCATCATTTGATTCCACATAAGAGTAACAGCATCAGTGTGTTCAGCTGTTGTGTAGTATTTGGTAATGGTTGATTGTAGGAAACCCTTGCTTTCATTGCGTGCCTGTAACAGAAAATTTAAATAAGTTTGCTATCAAGGGATTTTGTTTTTTTAAAATTGCAATAATTACCGTTTCTTTGTAAAATGCCGCCAAGCCACCAGCAACGATTTCAGCAATCAATAGTAAGATCATGAAAACGCCATACTGAAAAATATCAAAAGAAACAAATTGGTCAGATTGGTTTAATTAACTTAAAATTAATTTAGTAATTACACCGGCCAACAAAACTTAAGAAAGAAGATTCGAAATCTAATACGACCTTAGAATGTTTACATCACATCAGATTTTACAGATTTCGTTTCTCGCCATATTTGGGACGTTATAACCGAATGAAAACACAATTATTCATAAATCTTTTATGTCAACTGAACGGCCAATCCATCGGCTTAAAAATAAAATCAATAGCTTCGACTATAATTTAGGCTATAGTCTGAACTATAGTATATTCTATAGTTTGGACTTTAGTTTAGTCTTTAGTCTGGACTATAGTTTAGTCTATAGTCTGGACTATAGTTTAGTCTATAGTCTGGACTATAGTTTAGTCTATGGTCTGGACTATAGTTTAGTCTATAGTCTGGACTATAGTTTTGTCTATAGTCTGGACTTTAGTTTAGTCTATAGTCTCGACTATAGTTTAGTCTATAGTTTGGACTATAATTTAGTCTGAACTATAGTTTAGTTTATAGTCTGGACTATAGTTTAGTCTAAAGTCTGGACTATAGTTTAGTCTATAGTCTGGACTATAGTTTAGTCTATAGTCTGGTCTATAGTGTAGTCTATAGTTTGGACTATAGTTTAGTCTATAGTCTGGACTATACTTTTGTCTATAGTCTGGACTATAGTTTAGTCTATAGTCTAGGTTAGTCTATACTGTGGAATACAGTTTGGTCTATATTCTTGACTATAGTTTAGTCCATAGTCTGGACTTTACTCTGAAATATAGTTTAGCCTATAGTTTGGACTATAGTTTAGTCTATAGTATGGACTATAGTTTAGTCTATAGTCTCGACTATAGTTTAGTCTATAGTTTGGACTATAGTTAGGTCTGAACTATAGTTTAGTTTATAGTCTGGACTATAGTGTAGTCTATAGTTTGGACTATAGTTTAGTCTATAGTCTGGACTATAGTTTAGTCTATAGTCTGGACTATAGTTTAGTCTATAGTCTAGGTTAGTCTATACTGTGGAATACAGTTTAGTCTATATCCTTGACTATAGTTTAGTCCATAGTCTGGACTTGACTCTGAAATATAGTTTAGCCTATAGTTTAGTCTATGGTATGGGCTGTAGCTTAGTCTAAAATCTGGCCTATAGTTAAGTCTAAAGTCTGGACTACAGTTGAGTCTATAGTCTGGACTATAGTTTTGTCTATAGTCTGGACTATAGTGTAGTCTATAGTTTGGACTATAGTTTAGTCTATAATCTGGACTATAGTTTTGTCTATAGTCTGGACTATAGTTTAGTCTATAGTCTAGGTTAGTCTATACAGTGGAATACAGTTTAGTCTATATTCTTGACTATAGTTTAGTCCATAGTCTGGACCTTACTCTGAAATATAGTTTAGCCTATAGTTTAGTCTATAGTATTGGCTGTAGCTTAGTGTATAGTCTGTACTATAGTTTAGTCTATAGTTTGGACTATTGTTTAGTCTATAGTCTGGACTATAGTTTAGTCTGAACTATAGTTTAGTTTATAGTCTGGACTATAGTTTAGTCTAAAATCTGGACTATAGTTTAGTCTATAGTCTGGACTATAGTGTAGTCTATAGTTTGGACTATAGTTTAGTCTATAGTCTAGGTTAGTCTATACTGTGGAATACAGTTTAGTCTATATTCTTGACTATAGTTTAGTCTATAGTCTGGACTTTACTCTAAAATATAGTTTAGCCTATAGTCTGCACTATAGTTTATTCCATAGTCTGGAATACAGATTAGTCTCGACTATAGTTAAGTTTGTACCCTGGAATATAGTTTAGCCTATAGTTTGAACTACAGTTTTGTCCATACCCTGGCCTATGCTTTAGTCTGTACTATAGCTTAGTCTATACTCTGGAGTGTAGTTAAGTCTATAGTCTGGTTTTGGTTAAGATATCCCGAAAAAGGAAGAAGACAGAACAGAGTTTAAACCTGTATTTTAAAGCCGATAGATGGGACTTGTGGATGATAAAACAAATTTTATAAATAAAGTAGTCAACGATCTTAATTTAACATCTCAAATATGTTCCAAAACGACGATTTTTCAGCACTGCTAAAGTATACTTTTGTCTCTGGGATAAAATTTGGTTGGCCTGTGTTTAACCCTAAATAACAAATAAAATTATAAATAATATGTATGAAAATAATCTTTTATCACCCCTAGAGACTAATTATAAATATTTATTCCTGTTAGGGAACTCTTAATCCCCAAACAAATGAAAAGTTGTTTTTTTTTCGAGAAAATGATTAAAAACTTTGCCAATTTTATAAATTTCTGTTCACTCAGCATAATTCACGTACATGTAAATAAAACTGACTTTAATGTCTGCTTAGAAAACTTAACACTTAAACCTAAAGAAAAAAGAAACCAACAAGTATCACACATTTTTATGGGCTTGGCATCATGTACTCCTAGTTTAACATCATATTGGCCAATGTTCACATCAACACCATAACCAGTCACACGGACGGTTGAACGGGCAAGACAGTGAGACAGACAGACAAACAAACCACCGCTCAAATAAACAATTGCTGCAGACATTAAACATAAATCAAAACAGGTGAATCTAATATGAATAAAAAACAAACAAACATATCAACAACATACAACGAATTGCTACCGCATTGTTGGAGGTGATGTGAAAGGAATGTACTTTACTATATTTATACAGTCAAGCACTGACAGAAATAATTGTTTAAAACAGTGTTAAACAAAAACCTGCGCACAGAGCGAAATTCAAAAATCTATTTTTTTTGCTTCTATATACATGATCAAACTATAGACTAGACTATAGATTAGACTATGGACTAGACTTTAGACTAGAATATAGACTTTGACTATAGGACTAGAATATAGACTACATTATATACTATACTATGGACTGCACTATAGACTAGACTATGGACTAGAATATAGACTAGATTATAAACTAGACTATATACTAGACTATAGACTAGACTATAGACTAGACTATAAACTAGACTATAGACTAGACTAAGCTATAGACTAAACTATAGACTAGATTATAGACCAGACTATAGACTAGACTATAGACTAGTCTATAAACTAGCCTATAGACTAGAAATAGTTTAAACTATAGGCTAGACTATAGACTAGACTAGACTAGACTATAGACTAGACTATATACTAGACTATAGACTAGACTATATACTAGACTATATACTAGACTATAGACTAGACTATATACTAGACTATATACTAGACAATAGACTAGACTATAGACTAGACTATAGACAAGACTATAGACAGACTATAGACTAGACTATAGACTAGACTATAGACTAGACTATAGACTAGACTATAGACTAGACTATAGACTAGACTATAGAAGACTAGAATAGATAGACTATAGACTAGACTATAGACTAGACTATAGACTAGACTATAGACTAGACTATAGACTAGACTATAGACTAGACTATAGACTAGACTATAGACTAGACTATAGACTAGACTATAGACTAGACTATAGACTAGACTATAGACTAGACTATAGACTAGATAGACTAGACTATAGACTAGACTATAGACTAGACTATAGACTAGACTATAGACTAGACTATAGACTAGACTATAGACTAGACTATAGACTAGACTATAGACTAGACTATAGACTAGACTATAGACTAGACTATAGACTAGACTATAGACTAGACTATAGACTAGATATAGACTAGATATAGACTAGACTATAGACTAGACTATAGACTAGACTATAGACTAGACTATAGACTAGACTATAGACTAGACTATAGACTAGACTATAGACTAGACTATAGACTAGACTATAGACTAGACTATAGACTAGACTATAGACTAGACTATAGACTAGACTATAGACTAGACTATAGATAGACTATAGATAGACTAGACTATAGACTAGACTATAGACTAGACTATAGACTAGACTATAGACTAGACTATAGACTAGACTATAGACTAGACTATAGACTAGACTATAGACTAGACTATAGACTAGACTATAGACTAGACTATAGACTAGACTATAGACTAGACTATAGACTAGACTATAGACTAGACTATAGACTAGACTATAGACTAGACTATAGACTAGACTATAGACTAGACTATAGACTAGATAGACTAGACTATAGACTAGACTATAGACTAGACTATAGACTAGACAGACTAGACTATAGACTAGACTATAGACTAGACTATAGACTAGACTATAGACTAGACTATAGACTAGACTATAGACTAGACTATAGACTAGACTATAGACTAGACTATAGACTAGACTATAGACTAGACTATAGACTAGACTATAGACTAGACTATAGACTAGACTATGACTAGACTATAGACTAGACTATAGACTAGACTATAGACTAGACTATAGACTAGACTATAGACTAGACTATAGACTAGACTATAGACTAGACTATAGACTAGACTATAGACTAGACTATAGACTAGACTATAGACTAGACTATAGACTAGACTATAGACTAGACTATAGACTAGACTATAGACTAGACTATAGACTAGACTATAGACTAGACTATAGACTAGACTATAGACTAGACTATAGACTAGACTATACTAAGCTGAGAAAACAAAATCGCCATATTTTTTTCAGTGTAGACTTACATATACAATTTTGTATTAAAAAAGGTACAATCAACTAAAATGCAAAATACTACGTAACGACAATACAACAAGACCAATCCAGCAACAACAGTTTGAATATAGATTAAAAAAATGTTCAAACATACAATGACCGTTAATTTGAACGCATACAAATTAAAAAGCAACGAAGCAAATCGTTTTATATATCTGACTATAGTTTTCCCATTCATTCATAACGACAGACTTGAAACATTCATAAATATCTGCGAATTGAGAGTTTTGTGAATCTTTATGTTAGAAGGAAGATATAAATTAGACATTGGACAAATGGAATGT